AAAAAGACATGAAGCAACTACACAAAGACACAAAATCACCTTCAAAAACACAAAACAGCCACTAAATCACACAGAATGATGACAAAAAGTGCTGCAGATGTTTCATCAGCAGCTGGAAGCAACAGATTGGACTGTGTTCGTCATCAGGGTGACCCGTTACACTCTGGCTGCATCGCTTCAGGTCCTAACGGACGTGAACTTGTGGAGCAAAGTCAACGGGACGAGTGTTTAGTGATTTTCAAACTGTGTCCTTCTGGACCGATGCTGGAGCTGAAAGGTGGAGGAGCTTCAGCAGGTGTCTACACATCAGCTGGAGGTGGAGCTTCAGGAGAAGGCGAGCAGACGTGAGGAGCAGGAAGCTCGTTCAGACACATGAACACAAGGCTTCAGCTCTAAAGGGGGTCCGACTCCTGAAGGACACAAGTGGACCTGCTGGACGTTTGTCGCACTGTTCTTCCCTCGGTTCTGCTGACGAGCTCCTTTTCTCTGACTGCTCAGTGAGGGATTGAATAAGTGTCAGGCGATGCGTACCGTGGCCGCTGAAGTCGTCTCTGTCCAGCGCGCCGTGAGTGGGATCGGTGATGTACCGCAGGGCGACGCTGTTCTGTCGGGCTGGATGACCGTTCTGACGGAAGACAGACAGAAAACAGGTTTGAACGCAGCAGATCTTCACCTGACACAGAAAACCTGGAGAGGACTCAGAGTTTGGAGAAGGATGGACTCAGCATTTATCCACATGAGGCCACATGAACTTAAAAACAAAACGTCTCCAAAAAGGCTGAGTGATGTTCTTTAAAGCAACATGTCGTCTCTCTGCAAAGCAAATCCACAGAGACGCTGTGTCGGTCCGATGTGACCAAAACCAAGTCAAATCACTTCAGATACAATCAGCACATCACCAATGACTCAGAGTGACAGAAACTATTCCACAGTGGCTAAAAAATGTGTTTTCAGAATGACTCAGCGAAACAAAAGCGCCTCCAGGATGACTCAGCGTTCGTCCAACGTGTTGTTTTTATAAATGATTAAAAAACGTCTTAAATGAAAACAAGAACGTCCAAAACGGCTTAAAATTAGTTTTAAAAATGACTCAAACCATGTTCGCTGAGTCTCCGGGTTGGTCCACCGTGACAACATGAGTCCAAAACAACCCAGAACTGGACTTAACGGACTCAGTTTCTCTTCCTAAATGAGACGAGCTCCGAGCCAGTTCTCAAAACCCAATCTAAACTCTTCTTTCAGTTTCTGTAAAATGACAAAACTTCTCCAAAATGACTCAAAATGTTTCTTAAACCAAACAACAACAACAACAACAACAACAACAACAAAAACAACAATAAAGTTAAATGAAAACAACAGTCCACAGCTGGACCGAGCTCCTCTTTATGTCGGAGTTTTCTGGCCCAGCAAAGAGTGAATGAGAACCGGGTTCTCCAAGTGCTCGTACCGTGGCGCCACAGCGGCGGTCGTCATGGTTACCCAGGCCTTTGCAGGGCAGCAGGTATTCGTCTGCGTCGACCGCGTCCTCGGCGTCGCCGGTGCTCAGCAGGCGAGAGTAGAACCTGCTGTCTGACGGGCTGGGCGGTTCCCCCTGAGAACAAACAGACAAATGTGTCACGTTACAGGAACGTTCTGTATGAAACCTTCTGTCATCTGAGGCCTCCATAACATCTGGAGAACCTTTTCAGAACGTTCCTCCTCTGTCATCATAGACCATTGTGAGAATGTTTCATAGAAGAACGTTCTGTAACGTGTTCCTCAGCAACGTCCTCAGAACATTACAGGCTTTAACGTTTTATAAAAACCGTCTAATAACATGTGGAGAAGCTGTTTTGGAGGTTGGTTCCTCCTTGGTTGTCACAGAACCGCTGTTCCTGAGAACACACTGAAAGTCTGAGCTGACTCACGGGAACATTGTTGGAAACGACAGATCTCCCTGAAGCGTTCTGTGGACGTTGCATTAACGCTCACAGACATCATTAGAACTTGTAGGGGACGATGTTGAGGGAACGTGAGTTTGTTCCTCGCAGCGTCAGAACCCTAAACGGACCTCGTGAAGGATATACGTCACCCAGTGCAGGCGGCGGCGTCTGCTGCCTGTCCACCCAGACTGCAGGAGGTTCTGGCTTTTTGGATCCTGACTTCAAGGTTCACCTGAAAACGGCCACAAACGTGTTTTGATGAAAGCTCAGGTCAGGCGGTGTGGTCACGCTTTACCTGAACCACCAGGTATCTGGACGGGTCGCTGGCCATCTTAGAGAACTCCACCATCAGCTCTCTGAACCGCGGCCGACTGGACGGGTCGATCATCCAACCTGCAGCACAGTCAGACAGCTTCAGGCCTCAGAACCTCCACCCGCTGAACATGGCTTCCCTCAGAGGGTTCCTCTGGCCAAGGAACCCAGAACACCACCTTCTGTCCAGAACTTCTGGTTTTAAAGGTTCATTTCTACCAAAATAGGACTTTCTGTCCAAACGTTTAGAGTTTTAAAGGTTTATTCCACCGAAATACGACCTTTGTTCAAGTACATGCACCATAAAGGATTTATTCCAACTGAAATACTACTTTCAGTCCAAATATGAGCAGTTTTAAAGGTTTATTCCACCAAAAACACTAACTTCTGTCTACATACTTGTAGTTTTAAAGGATAATTTCTACCAAAATTCTACTCTTTGTCAAAATATTTAGTTTCAAGGGTTAATTTCTTGTAAAATACTATTTATTCTCAAAATATTTAAAGTTTATGCCACCAAAATACTACTTTCTGTCCAGATACTTCTAGTTTTAAGGTCAATTTCTACCAAAATACTACGTTCTGTTAAAAATATTTATCTTTTAAAGGTTTATGCCACCAAAATAACACCTTTCATTCACGTACATGCACTTTAAGAGTTTAATTCCAACTAACACGTCACTTTTAGTCCCAATGTGTCCTTTTAACGGTTTAAAAGGTTTAAATTTTCACAGCTCTGTAAAATAACAGTTAAAAATATTTTATAATTGTTTACACACATATTTTTTTCTGTTTCGCTGATTTAAACACAATAAAACTGTTTAATTTTACACTTAACTCTTGTAAATTTGACATTTATTTCCTGTTTTTTTTCTGTGTGTTTTCACTTGTTCTCGTTGTTATTTGTAATTTAACAAAAACAGAAAAACGTGCAACAGCATCTGTTGTTGAGTTGTGACACTGAGACGGTGCGAGTGGCTGTTCAGTGTTTCGCCCTTCAGAAGTGCAAATGTTTGAGTTCTTCTGTGACTTTCTGATTTGTTGTCTGTAATTCAACAAACCAGCGAAGACAGTAATTAGGCTTCTTCATCATTTAAATCCATGTTTTGTCTTTGAAATAATGGCAAATATCTGTAAACTAAACCGTGTCAAAGTGCTCACTGAGGACCAGGACCAGCTGATCCAGACTTGTTCTATTCTGTGGAACACCTCCACCTGTATGCGTTTTATTTTGAAGTGGGCTTCAGGACTTCCTCTTACATTTGACCATGATCATGTAGACGTCGATGGTGCAGACGGGCGGCTGCGGCAGACGCTCTCCTCTCTCCAGAACCGAGGCGATCTCGCTGGCCGGGATGCCGTCGTACGGCTTCGACCCGAACGTCATGAGCTCCCAAACGGTCACACCTGTAGAACCAAGAGTCAGGAAGCAGCCGCTCACCCAGACACAGACGTTCTAACAACGTTCTGAGGGGGTTTCCTTCAGTTCCCACAATGTTCCTCTTCAAGATAACCAAAGACGTTTTGAAAATGTTAAACATTCTTGAAACGTTCTGAGGAACTTCTGCAACGTTCTGTTTGTGTTTCCAGCAGGAAGTTTTCTCTTAGTTCTACTAAAGACGTTCTGAAAATGTTTGGTGACGTTCTGTGACTGTTGTCCTCTAGCGTTCTCAGAACAAACGCTGCATCTAGAACGTTCTCCCTTTGTTATCATGGAACATTGTGGGAACCTGGAGCTGACGATCAGTGAACAAATATGAAAACACCGTTCCAACTGATGAGTTTAAAAAACGCTGTGAACTTTTCGTTTAATTTGTTCTGTTTTCATTTTATCGACTTTTTGGCTTTTTTGAAATGTGCAAAAAAACATCAATGAAATGACAAAACCAGACAGTCTGCTGCAGAACGCCACAAAAACAAGAAGCATGAGCTCCACAGATCACAGATCATAGGAGTGGATCATAAAGACTAAAGGCAGGAGCTGAGCGTTTAGAGATGGACAAAGGCTTGAACATAAAACATCCATCAGACATCCAAATGGAAGACTCACATGGTTACTGGTTATCATGTAAACGGAGCTGAATCACGACTTTAGTCCAGTTTGTTATCGTCTCATTGAAAGTGTGTCATTTTCTGCTGCCACCAATGAGGGGGCAGAAAGCAGGGCTGCTGAGGCGACTCACCGTAGCTCCAGACGTCGCTCTGGTGGGTGTAGGTCCACTGCTGGATCGACTCCAACGCCATCCACTTGATGGGAACCTACGGGGAGCAGGAGGGACAAACGTCATGGTTCTACAACGAGCTGAGAGCAGCAGAACCTTCTCAGTTCTGG